CCTGCTATGTATATACACAAAAAAAACGCAATACTATTGTAATGCTCTAACCAAAAGTCTTGAATTTTTTATATAAATATTTAATACTTTGTTATACGATTGTATGCTTAATTAAAAAACACTATTGTATAGGAAACTATGAACTAGTTAAATAAAAACAACGATAAAATCTCACACGCTGACTCGATCGTCATCATTTTCACGGTACACATTTCTTTTGTCCTTTTTTTCCCGCACTCCCAACATACTTATATGTTATTGCAAAATTAATTGACGGATGCGTGGATAACGATTATCTCCAATCTTTGGCTGACCCACTTTTTTTATCGAGCAATTCAACGACCACGTAACAAATTGGCACCAAGTGCGCCACTGACCTCCCAACGCATGCGATTTTTATTTTACAAAAGACCGAAACCGTAAAACTTTTTTTTATCACACCCAACGGGCTGCGCACTCTTGAAGTCATTAAAAGACTTTTCATAAGTCATTCTAAGTCTTTCAAAGACTTCAAAAGCCTCCAAAAGACTTCAGACTTTTTACCGGGACTTTAAGAGTGCATATAGCTTAAAGTCATTAAAAAAGACTTTATAAATTATTTTAAGTCTTTCAAAGACTTCAAAAGTCTCCAAAAGACTTAAGAATTTTTACCGAGACTTTAAGAGGGCATATAGCTTAAAGTCATTAAAAAAGACTTCATAAGTCATTCTAAGTCTTTCAAAGACTTCAAAAGTCTCCAAAAGACTTCAGACTTTTTACCAAGACTTTAAGAGTGCATAGAGCTTAAAGTCATAAAAAAAGACTTTATAAATTATTTTAAGTCTTTCAAAGACTTCAAAAGTCTCCAAAAGACTTCAGACTTTTTACCGGGACTTTAAGAGTGCATATAGCTTAAAGTCATTAAAAAACTTCATAAGTCATTTTAAGTCTTTAAAAGACTTCAAAAGTCTCCAAAAGACTTCAGACTTTTTACCGGGACTTTAAGAGTGCATAGAGCTTAAAGTCATAAAAAAAGACTTTATAAATTATTTTAAGTCTTTCAAAGACTTCAGACTTTTTACCGAGACTTTAAGAGTGTATATAGCTTAAAGTCATTAAGACTTCATAAGTCATTCTAAGTCTTTCAAAGACTTCAAAAGTCTTTCAAAGACTTCAGACTTTTTACCGGGACTTTAAGAGTGCATATAGCTTAAAGTCATTAAAAAAGACTTCATGAGTCATTCTAAGTCTTTAAAAAACTTTAGAAATGTCTAAAAGACTTCAGAGTGCGCAGTCCTTCGTATCACACGCCACTTGGACGTGACAATGAAATTGCAAACACGTCGAGATACAGGAAAGATAAATCGTCGGCAATATGTTTTATACGAACGATGGAGCATCGTTGTTTTATCGGCGACCCTACGAAGTCTACGTCAATGCCGCGTATCGCCAAGTTCGGAGAAAAACGAGCGCACTATCTTTCAGATGTCACGGTGAATTTGCATCCCATTGGCTCGTTGGAAATAATGCATTCAAGTGTACATAGCGTCGGAATGAATATTTCGCGTGGCAAGTGGAAAACTCTTTTGCCGAAGCCAGACCACACCAAACCAGAGGGTGTTAATGGAGGAAAAAAAAAAGTATAAAGGAGCGAGCCTAGGCGGTATTTCGAGACCACGAAGTAAAGGAGCGCACGTGCTCGGCACCTGCATGCATGCTTTTCTCGTCATTTCCCGCTTGACAGCTATACGATGATTCTCTGTGTATTTATGTTGCGCTTGGATGTGTGTTTGGACAAAGAGGCAGCTGCGCTAATGCGTTTGGGTTATTCGACTGCAGCACGTGAAATATGGTTTTTGGGGTTTGCGAGAAGGTTGCGGGGATCTCTTTTGACGGCTGTGATAAGAAATTGTTGCTTCAAATTTTTTTTTTTTTCAAGCAGGCAGTGTATTCCAAAAGATATTTTATTTAATTAAAATTATGTATTCGTTTTATCGCTTCATTCAAATATGAAATCCGAATCAAATATTTTTATTTTACTTGAAATAAAAACTGAAATAAACCCATTTCACGCATTTTTAGTTTGAATAAAATAATGAGAATTAATTTAATTGTAAGTACAGTATTAAAAATATTTAATTTGGAATGAAATTTTTTAAAAATGTTACTGCAAATAAAATAATTCAAACCAACGATTCTTAATACCAGAACTATGAACGTATAATTTATTTTATTGAATAGTTGAATGTATGTTCGAAAATATTTACAGTACTTTAGTCAAATACAAATTAAATTATTTCAGCTATTTTAGGTGAGATATATTTATCAGTGTATTCGTAATTGACAAACGTAAATTTAAATATCATTAATATTTATAATGTGTTTCAACCACGATAATGAAATATATATTCATTAAAAATAAATTTGTTTAATATATCTGTGATTAACGAAATTAATTGAAATGAATGTTTAAATATACACGAGTGACAGCAAATGAAATTAATTATTTAATAAATTTTTTATTTGATAAATTAGTATTTATTTTCAATACTTTGGTAAAGTACAGATGCATTTCTGGATTTATTTTTTTAACTATTCGTATGAGTACAGTTAAATGAGTAAGAACTT